TCAATGGTGTTGATTACTATGTTAAGCCCATATAATTTATTCCAGCTTCTAAACAGGACTATTTATTCACTCTACTTGAGTGACGTTTCGATCTTTTTAATTATTCACTTATCAACGCTGACTGCTGTCATATCAGCGTATATGTGTGTACACTTCTTATCCTATTCATTACATGTATGTAGGTTATTTTTGTGTGACTATGAATATGGATTAACGGTTGGATTAAATGGAGTTGGTTGAAATGCGTACCCTTTCGTTTCGCTTCGCTCTGTCTTCTTCACTTTATTGTCTGCAATTCTCTGATTGTCTATTCCGATTAACGAGTGTACAAACTATAAGTAATCATATATGCACTCTCGTATTTGACTTATCTAATTCCATTATTCACCAACACGATTTAAGTCAATAAAATATATGTGAATAGTCAGCATGCATATTTCAACAACAATCATTCAATAACAATCATTTGCCCAATCTAATTGGAATCAAATCCTGGACTACAAAACGTTTTTTTGAGGTAATAATGAATATTCAATGGATGAACAAATGACATAAATAGAATCTTCACTTATCAACTACTAAAAACAACTCTATACATAAATGTTATATCAATTTAACAATCAACTAATTTACTTATACAATGCCGATACAATCAAATGTAAAGCTTCATTTATTTTTATTCTATGTATATATAATTGTTTATCATTTAAATGCGAATATAAACTTAGAATAGTCTTCAACCTGTTACCAATTAAATAAATGATTTCACAGACAAGATATTACTATATAGACTACTTAAAATGTTTAAAAATCTTTTAAAAGGGATAGTATATGACATTCAACAAGTTATATATTACCATTACTATTATTATGAGTACTATTACTAGTGCTATTACCATTACTATTAATACTGTTACGGTTATTATTACTATCACCATTATTGTCATTACCATTACTATTATCACTATTACCGTTATTATTACCATTACTATTACCATAATACTCTGTTAGACGGCTTTCATAAACATCTCAAGTGAATACAATCCTTAGTAACTACATCAAAATTAAAAAATGTAAATGCTCCTTTTTTTAAAAAATAGTACTCAAATAAAAAACAAATGAAAAAGCACTGCGCAATAAACATTAATTTAAAAAAAATTTTTTTAATGTTAAATAAAAAATTCTGTTGATCATTTGATAGAATAAAATTTACATGAATGGTAGTAAGTAACTATGGTAATGAATCTACGGTATATATATATATATATATACACAGACACACACACACACACAATCACATACAGACATGTACAAATACTTTGTAAAGTATGGTGGGATTGTTTGTTGTTTGTTTGTTTGTTTGTTCTTTTAGATATAACTTGGTCGTTTTTTCTATGCTGAATGATAAAAGTCGATTGTCAAACGATATCACATGTAATTTAACATTATTTCGGTATAAAAACAATGTTCTCTTTTTATTTTATTGGATAAATTAGGCCTATAGATTAGCCATAACAATACAATCATCAAAATGTAATATCTATCATTGTACAACTTAATAATTAATTCAATGAAGAGATCCTTAAGCTGAACTTCGTTATTACTTTTTTTCAAAATTAAAGAATAAATATCATCGGTAAATTCAGATTTCCTGAAGTTTCGTCACTCAAAGTAAGCCACGTCTTCAGAGAATAAATAACCAAATACAAAAAATTGATCCAAGTTTAAATAGTACAAAAAGAAACTTGGATTAACTATAATTCAGTTATTTATTCTCTGAAGAAGTGACTTACATTGAGTTACGAAACGTCACAAAATTTCACTTTTTCTATTCATTGAGATATTACAAATATATTAATTTATTTATGACAATGGATTTAGACATGCTTCATCAAATTTCAATGTGCGAGTCATTGTATGAGATTTACATTTTCCCGGTACAAAATGGAATACTAGTAGATTTCATTCATATGATGATGAATTGATAACAATCAAAAATCGACATTTGTCAACACATATGTGGCTGATATATAGATATGTATATGTGGAATAATACACAGCACGTATCAATCATTAGTGCTCTCCGACAGTCGAATAAATTTGAAATTCTATTAATCCATGATGAAGCTTATCTTATCTTACTTAAACAGTTATGAAAATTATATTGAAATGATTTTGGATTTCAAACTCGGACATGAATAACAATGACTACCACCAACAAATGTTAATATAAGTAATAAGCATAAAAGAAATGACTAAGAGTGGAAGATAATTGATTATGGAACCTTTTTGATGAATCAGGTGCGTACAAATCTTTGAGGTTATTTTGATTGATCATATTTAGAAGAATTTCAGTGTTTGCATGACAGTTTATTAAAGCACTTATAAGAATAAGAATACTGATTTGAACAATGCGAAAGTACATGATGAAGTATTTGTTAGGGAAACCAGTGTCAAATTTGTCATTGTGGCTTCATCAAACAGAAATTAGATGTGACTCGGAATTTAAATATTACAAAAGAAACTTGGCATAATTTTGATTTGTTTATTTATTCTCCGAAGAAGCGGGTTACATTGAGTTACGAAACGTTGGAAAAGTTTACTTTTCTACTGATTGAGCTAATAAAAGTAGATTAATTTAACAATATCAAACTATCGAATGTTCAATTTATTCGAAATGATCAATTCAAACGTTGGTCGTGAAATTGGTAAGATTGTTTTAGATCTTCACTAGCCTAATAATCATTATGATAAGTATATATTATTCATTTTGTAGATTCGCTTATAGAATAGTTAATAATCTTGTACAAATGATTTGTATATCTTTTCCAATGATTCATCAAGTTCATAAAAAGAAATCATATGAAGTGTCGGATGCCGACGAGAAAATACTAACATTATTAATAGTATATGTTAGAGTTTGTATTTAGCCGATATTGATATGATCAGTCGTTATATTAGTATATATGAGTGTTGAGTAGACTGCCTTGATTTTGCCATTTTAGCCATAAGTATTTATAAAAATCAAATACCTAAAATTAAGGGCGGAATTTCAAATACACGTTTTGTTCTACTTAGGGATTGTCATCAATAAATCAAATAAGCGCATATACATGAGCTTAACTATTTTTTTGAGCACGTTATTTCACTTCATTCACAATGTAGCTAAGACAAGAAGCCTTCACTTGTAACGAAGTAAGACATAATTCTGAAACACGCATATACTACTTTCAAATGATACTATTTCAGTAGTTTTTTTAATTTTGTCAAAGAAAACATCACAACAACATTGAGATAAAAATTAACTAGTGAATATCAAATAGTATGAAACATTAATCCTGGATTTCACTACTAGCTACAATTCATTAGTTCTGACTTAGAAACCAAAAAGCCTTCAAGATTGAGCAATCAGTGATTATGATAATGGGGTTTACGGTCAGATGTAAATAAGCTATTTCTAATCTTTGAAAAATTCATCATTCCTTCTTTAAATATTGGATAACCGTGTATTTATATCGTAAGTTATTAAACTGGATTTTATAACAGTTTTTGATCAAATTATGTAAATATACGTTTTGTAACCAGCCAGTAGTGAAATGAAGAATAAATTTACGTGAATAGTTACTTATTTAATAATTGAATTCATGAATTAATTAAAGCTAGATCACCATGGAAAATTTGGAAGCACTGAACGATCGTTTCGTCGTGACGGTGGTGCAACTTCGTAGATTGCTTGAAGTTAGACGTTTACACTGTTGGATTCCTACTCAGTAATCTAGAACTTAAGCATTCGCTTACAAGACCAATATGTCCTAAGTTAGAATCTCGCGAGGGGGGAACGTAGATACACACTGTTGAGGAGTCGTATACTAGGACGAAATGACTGTCTGGTGCTTCCAGGTTTTCCATGGTGGTCTAGCTTCAATTGACTCATGATTTCAATCAGTGAAATTGTTTAAGAGTTAACTGGGCATGTTTGTGAATCAATCAGTTAATTAATAAAAATGAATATGTAAATATTTTAATAAAATTTAGAAATCTTAGATGTAATGGTGACACTATAATTTATGGATGACATTTGGGTGACACCAAAATGACATTGAGAGTGTTCACTTAATAACCAGGACTAAATGAGGGTTATGAATCTGTGTGAATAATTAGAATTATGATTTGCAATCAATGGTTAAAGTTAGGAATTAGATTTAGGGTTTTTATCACGAACTAACATCAGCTATAATGCCAAATCTCTATTTAGCCAACTGGATGAATGAATATCGCGCCTAAATCCAAGATCTATTATCTTATACCTGATTGGTTTGTTCATAAATTATAGTCTCCCCGATGCAAATTTTAGGTTACATTGATGAGTAAGGTAAAGATATATATTGTATAGACATTTATGAATTTAAAGATTAGTTATATTTAAGGAGAATCCTATTTATTTTACAGTATAGATAGATAACATACTTGTCTAATTGTAATTTGCTTCACAGAATTAACTAACCTAATAAATCTCTACAAAGGTATATATAAGCTCCGATTTATGAACATTTTATAAACTGATTACTATCAAAATCTAGTAAATTTATTTTTGTTACAAATCATAAACTGTTATGTATTATCCTACTGTTTAAAAACATTCGATTATGCTTCACGTGATTCAATTAAACCTCGAACTTCAATATAGAGCTGATGAGATTATTGAATTTTTGATTGAGATCATGAATCGATCGATGTTAAACCACCATTCGCATGTTCTCGCACGAGATTGAAGATCCTAGGTTCGAATCTCGCGTGGCGGAATCATCGATGCACACTAATGAGCAGTCCCACAATAGAAAGAGTCGACCGTCCAGTACTTCCAGGTTTTCAATGGTGGTCTAACATAAATCAGTTCATGATCTCAATCAAAAATCTACTACCTTAATCATTTTAATTATAAAAATCATATTAATATTTTCTTTATCAAAAAGAAAAACGAAAAAAAAGGAATAACTCACCAAGATCAAGACTTCGAAGTCTCCAATATTCAACACCTTCTCGTATATTTTTTAATGAACTATATTCCATAATAAATCCATATATACATCTTTGTAATGGTAGTAATAGTATTATTATTATTATTATTAAAATACTTAATATCCATGAAATATTATTCATTTCTTTCCTGTTCTATTATTATTGATTATTATTATTATTATTATTATTATTGTTAACTCTGTACATGTTTTTTTATAAAATGAAAAATCAGTTTTCAAATGTTTAGTGCCATAGAAATAACTAATTTATATGTCATGCCATAAAAACTGACCAATCATATTATGAGAACATACTGATTATTGATTGGCTGAAAAGATACCCAATTAAAATTATTATTATTATTATTATTATTATTATTATTATTATGTGTTTCTAAGTCATGCATAAATTTTTTTTGGATAAAAGTCCATGCAATTTATAATCATTCAGTGATTAAATAATTCCATCAAAGTTTATTATATCATATTATATAAGTTTTATCAGTCAGTCAGTTACAACATAGGATCAGGCAAATATATGTATCGGTTCAAGTCGCCACACCTCAATAGCACAGTAAGATAAACACCGGATTCATGGAAGTGGTTAATTCAGTGTTGGTAATATATATAAGAAAGATTTTATGTGATGGTATAGTACAGGAAGAAAGATTTAGCACATAGAAAGAAAGGTATGAAGCGATTTTAAACTCATAGTTTAAAAGAAGACAGAGAGTGTATACACCGACACCATTGTGATCGATTCTGAGCCATGTCACACAGAGTCTCCAACCATTGGTTACGATGGTCATGCGAACCCCTATCAAGTAGTCTGCATCTACCAACATGACTAAAACCAGAAGTTGGTGACTTCAAGGACTAATGCTACGTTTTGATTTACCATCGTTCCCTAATACTGTGCGTCTAACCTCACTATTACTTACCCGGTGATTCCAGCAGATACGAATACAGTTCTAAGAAATCGGAGATCAAATATTAGTAACTTACGAGTACAGCTTCTGCCAGGGAAGTCCTACTCATTGCATCCTCGTGACGGGGGCGTTATTTACGAAATTGAGAGGACGAAAAGCGAATGTCCGGCGCTTCAACCGGATTCCAATCCACGGGGGCACATGGGCTCCAGTATCCTGAAGGAACAAATGGCGTATGAACCAATTGTTGGTCACCGGCTTCCATCGGACTGCATCTCCTTACGATGCTCCACTGCCTTGTGGATCAGACCTTCAGATCAAAGGCTCCGGGTGTGGCCTCATTAGAAAACCACCCGCTTCGGTTTGGGCACCCGGATAGCATCACAGCTCTCACATATATCGAATGAGATTTGTGTGGTGCATATGTATTTGGTGCCTCCTTGTACCCATATCTATGTGTTAAAATAAATAAAATAAATAGCATTCATTAGAAGAATACCAACAACGAAAAAATGTAATACATCAATCTATAGAACAGAAAATTCTCAAAACTTGTAATAAAGAAAAGACGGGAGAGAAAATATTTTTGATATTTTGTCAAAATTGTCAGCTTAAATTGTCAGTATATTTTTATTCTTTAACTTCACCCCACACTTTGTCACTAATCATTATTCAGATGATAAACTTCTCGTCTGTATGTTAATGTCATTGCATGATACAATTCTGTCACTACTCGTAAAAATGGCCGTAAGATATACATATATATTATTGGCTTTATTCAATATTATATTTCTGGTACAATATTAGAATTGTCATTGCAAAGTATTTCAACACGTTTCCTTTTTCTTATTTCTTAATCGATTATTGAGATAAATATTGAATGGTTGCTATTCACATGTTAGCAGTTCAAGAATCAATATTTGAATAAGATAGATTGCTTTCGATGTATATTGCCTGCTAGCCGTCACAATGTCTCTGATTGTGCTCTTTTGTAATTTGTACAGTGAAATATCTCAAACTTTTCACAAACGCTTCTGAATACGTTATACGATTAATAGGCATAATGATATGTTAAGAAAACAACAAGAAAACAGATCATTTGTTGAAATATCCAGATGGCAGGAACAGGTAGCCCAGATATTCAAACAGGCCATATATATATATATATATATACCCAATGCTAGAGTATGATTGATTTACAGCGGATTTCAAGAAGGACGATATAGTTGAGCGGCTACAACAGATGACATTTCTAAGGTGCTCCTTTATTTGTGATGGCGATATTCAAATTATTTCTGGATATTGTTCAGACTATTGTAACAATGTTGTATATCGATGTAATATATATATATATATATATATATTGTAGGAAACATTCTGCTGGAGTGTGGACGATTTTCGTTCTATCCGGTATGACACAAAGATAAATCATGATAATTGTTGTAAACTGGATAATTCAAACACCCGTCATACTGACTGAAAACTTTGCAGTTGTTCCTGAAGTGTCGGCTGTTTAACAGTATGAGTACTATCGAGATATATGTGCAATGAAAACGACAAGCTTGCATAATTCGTTTGGAGGAATCGGAAGAATCATAGAAACAGACGAAACAATCGTTAGAAAATGCAAATTCAATAGAAGTGTTGAAGACTGGGTAAGTAGCTAAAAGAATTTTTGTGACCTTAGCATGGCTACAGAGATCGACTATTAAGGAGTCACATGTATGATTTCCTGTACCGTAAGCATTATGATTTCAGAACAGCAGAAACTCTTTCTAACCTTGACAAGTTTTTAAGTCAAGCTAATGAAATGTATCAACTCTAATTTTTTGATGTTGTATGATATACTATTACTCCCTACTGACTGTTTTCGGATTGGGTGAAATTTTGCAAGATCACTTAAGATTCGTTCAAAGATCCTTTCGTCTTTCATCAGGTTACTTTGAAAGGAATACAAAAGTGGGATAAGACTGTGTAATAAACACATTTACTTTTAAGTTTAGTAGTCTCACACTGGACTTCAAACAATCATCCCGACAGCAAAAAAATCGACAACAGTAATCAAACACACAACTTCTTCAATGAATATCTAACGAAAGACCATGATGACTCAGTGACGTAACTATAGTTGGTTAGATTGTTCTTATTGTTTATAGAAAACATTCGAGAGGTTCTAGTTTTCCTCATTCAAAAAATTACTTTCATTTGCTTGTGACGTAAACATAGGAAGAAGCAAGAAATATGTGAAGTTGATTAATCAGTAAGTAAGGAGTAACTAATTTCAGTTTGTAATGTCTTTTTAGTGCTGGTCAGATCCTGTCGACTAGCTCTCGAGACTACAGGCATAGCTTGCTAATCAATGTCAAATAACACAAAACACAGGTTGAATAGGTTTTATTCTTGACCTACCGTTTAGTATTGTAATATGGGTGGTTGGATGGTTGAAAGTAGCTGGCAAGAAACTCTAGATCTAGATTTCATCTAGTTTGATACTCATCATAGAGGTATGCCTGTAATCTTGAAGGAACTGATGATCGTCGTCAGACTCGATGTCTTGTCATCCATCTTCCCAGTCTAAGGTAATAACATTGAGCTATTCTGCGCTCTACTGACCTGTTATTTGCTCGACATTAACAAACATTTTATCCTTTTTTTAAAGTAGATATAGGCGGAAAATATGAATTGGGAGAGTTTTAGGCCAAAGTCAAATGCATATGAGGTTTAGAATTTATCCCAGAAGTGTTAATCAGTCTATTCTGATGACCTTGTAAGTGGCTAGTTTTCTTTTAAGGTTTTTTAACCTTACGATGTATTTACATTTTTGTCGATTATTTCTGTTTAGTTGACCTCTGACCGTATGATTCAATTTCCATCGTTTGTAGAAACCCAAATAACATTTTATGATCCTACAATGCAATGGTATTAATTTTCATATTTATCTATAAACAGTATGTGTATTCTGTTTGTGAGATCGAAATAATGAGTTCAATATCCTGAGTTAAATAAAGGTAATTGAATGTTTCTCTACGAAATTAAATATACCGAAAATGGAGAAACTTCATAGTTTGCATCACGTTTTTTAAACCTAGCCACCATGTCTGACACATTATTATTACATTCTGTCCAATTTTGATCATCATTCCTGCTGTAAAACATGACAATAAGCATGAAGAATAACTTTGTTACCAGAAGTCACAAAGCATTTATATAATATATTATACATAATCTTTAATCTTTCATTTGCATCTTTCAGTGTGTTCTTTCATCTGAACTACCTTCTCTTCTGGTCTCTTAGTGTTCTGCCAACTCTTCAATCCACCTGACGTTTGCTGCAACTTCGATGTCACGTTTCGCTACACACTACTCACAAACAATTTTGTGAGTAGCGTCCACTATAATTTATGGAAGACATTTGAGCGATGCCACGATGATCTTCAGAATGTCTACCTACTTACTAGATCTAGAGTTGACGGTTAATGTTAGAAATTAGATTTACAATTTTTCACCACGAACTGATATCATCTAAAATATCGACACGCTAGTTGGCCAAATGGGTATGTGAATTTCGCGCTAAACTTCCAGACATGTAATCTTAAATCTGATTGGTTCGTCCATAAATTACAGTCTCTCCATCATCATTAACTGAAACATGACAGTGTTTAGAATCATCCAGATTATCGCAACAGATCATAAAAAAACCTTAATAGAGAATCACTAATCATTTCTATTCCATGTATATTATTATTATTCTCATTTTGTTCGAGAATAAATGAAATGTAACATTAAATAACACACCCTGTCTACTCTTAGACACTATTCCACTAATAGACGCTTTTGTTTTAGTGTCTTTTTCCAATTACAATAAACAATGAATCGATAAATAAACGATCATTTCTGTAATAGAATTCATTAATCGCAACTGAAAAGAACAAATTAGAACACGTTGAGCAGTTTATTAGTGATATACCAAAGATTTTCATCAAACGAAAGACTGTTATGTCATGGTTTGTATAATCACAATTATTCAAGCAGTAGATTGTCATTCATGATTTACATTAGAATCAATCATTAGATAAAGTTGGTAGGAGACATCAATATTGATTACTTACTTACTTACTTACTTACGCCTGTTACTCCAAATGGAGCATAGGCCGTCGACCAGCGTTCTCCAACCCGCTAACCAGAAAAAAAATTATTCACCAATATTGATTATGATAATCAAATCGTCTAAAATGTTATTATTATTTAAAATTTG